AAATTAGATAATTCTTTAAAATAATAATAATAATAATAAGTCAGATGGGGACTAGCTCCACGCATAGCAGCAATGCATTACTCAAGAGAAACCTGATCCCACATAGTGATCACAGTTTGAATTCCCAGCCTGGGCAGCCTGAGACATACCAGGTGTGCATGCCCATGATCTGAAGGGCTAGAGGACTGGAGAAAGGGGATCACAGTGTGATCAGATCCTATGGAGGGTGCTCGTGTGTCTCTCTGTCGCACTCTCATGTGCATGCTCATGTACTGTCATGAATACAGAAAAAAAATTTAAGTCAAATAGGGACTTCTTTTAGTGAGTGTCATGTAAACTTTGTGTAAGGCAAAGCACCATGGTGAGATGGACTGAATGTCATTATTTGAAACTTGCTGATTCCTGTTAGAGTACAATTCGAAGAGGATAAAGAGGACTAGCATTTCTTGAGTACTTAATGCATGAAAGGCGATGTTCAAAGTGCTCTGAAGGTGCAGGGTGGTGGAACATGATGCTCTGCAGGGCTAACTCTCATGGGAAGGTTCTGGGTCTTGGGTTCACATTTGGAGACCTCCCTGAGTACACAGGTGCCCATGATCTGGGGCAGACTGAGGACAAGGGTAGATTGCAACATTGTGTGTGTGTGGAAAAAAAAAGGGGGGGGCAGGTGGCATGGTGGTTAAAGGCACTGGACACCCACATGGTCGACCATGGTTCGAGTCCCGGACCTGGTGGTTTCTTTCTCACTTACCCTCTCTCTCTCTCTAATCAAACTAGAAAACAATAATAATAAATAAAGCTAAATAAAATAATCCTTTTAAAAAAGATTGCAACATCGGGATCCTGTGGTGGATGCTATCTCTCTCTTGCTGGCTCATGGAAGAAATAAATGAACTGAAAATATGTTCAAAGTGCTTTGCAAGTGTTACTTTGTTTGATCTTCAAAATAACCCATGTTACAGGGTAATTAAAGCACCCAGAGGCTGTGACATAACTGAGGTCACCTTGGGACCAGCAGTTGGCGTAATGGCTATGCCTCTGGACTCCCATGTAGTCGACTGCGGTTCGAGTCCCAGACCCGGTGGCTTAAATTCACGCTGGTGCATGTATGTGTGTGCCCAAGATCTTGAGAGGAGAATGGAGGAGAAGGGATTGCGGCGTGGCCAGCCCCCCTGGGGGTGATTTCTCACTTTCTGTCTCTCTGTCTCTCTCTGTCTTTCTGGCGAGTGCATGTGCCCTATACCAAAAATAAATAAATAAATAAAAATAAACCAACCAACCAAACAAACAAAACAAAACTGAGGTCACCTGGCTAGTAAATAACGAAACTAGATTGGAACCCAGACAGTCTGGCTGGGACTTATTCACCTTGCTACTACATGAGGGCCGATGAACTCTGTAGGTCCCTCTGAGATTCTGAGTAAGAAGTGGTCCCTGACTTCAAAAGGTTCCAAGTTAACAGGAGAGATGAGACCCACACCTGAGTAGCTACAACCAGGGAGTGTCTCCTAAATGCCATATGCAGATATGAGGGACCAGAAGAGCTCAGATTAGA